CTATTCTATTCTATTCTATTCTATTCTATTCTATTCTATTCTATTCCATCCCATTTCCATTCCATATTCTATTTACAACCTTTGCAGCATCTCGCAGTTTTGTGATAAAAATTTGGTGCTTATTCGTTTACAGGAGAAGCTGAGTTTTCAAATTTGCTTAATGACCGCGATTTAAAAGGTCAGAAAGATTGGACCACGACTCACTTAAGAACCACCTTGTTCAGCAACAGGAATTGTGATCCCAATTGTGTTTGTAAGTAGAGGACTACTCCTACTAGTTTTGGCTCGGGGACAGGGTGGTGGGTGGCGGGGGGAAGCTGGTGTTGGAAAACGAAGAGGAGGAGGCATTAAACTGGGAAGCCAGCTTAACTTGGCCAGATAGATCTGGCATCTGCTGCATTTCAGCCCAAGGGAATTGGGGAGAAAGACAAATAAAGGATGCAGCTACCTGGGATTTTCCTTGGTAGCACATTAAGCAAAAAAAAAAAAAAAAAACATAATTAAACTGCCTGAGCTGTGGAAAAAAAACATCCCCATGGAAATCAAATTGGCCTCATCTGGGTCGGTCTTCAAAGAGGCCTGGAAAAAAAATGATTTTTGCCCCAGTAAGGTGCGCTTGTACGGATAGTCCTCAACTTACAATTTCTGCCGTTAAGTGAGACATTTGTTAAGTGAGCTTTGCCCCATTTTACAACCTTCCTTGACACAGTTGTTTAAATGAATCCAGCTTCCCCATTGACTTTGCTTGCAACAGGATCCCAAAAGGGGATCGCACAGCAACGGTCGTTAAGTATAACCAGTTTGCCAAGCACCTGAATTTTGACCACCTGACCATGGGGAGGCTTCAAAGGTCGTAACTGTGAAAAACGATCCTAAGTCACTTTATTCGATGGCATTGTAACTTTTTTAAAAAGTTTTTTATTTTTTATATTTCAAATACATCTCTTTTAATGAACAGCATTGTTCCAGGTTTTCACATTTCCATATAAAGATGACCTTGGTTATATATTCATCTTTCCCATTTAGTCTCATATCATATCATTACATTTCATATTTACTCTAAATTTTCTCAGGTATTCTTATAGTCTTCCAATTTATTTTATATATTTTCTATTCCTTTCTTAACTTATTTTCTTTTTGTTTTAAATATCTTCACCTTCGTTATACTTTATATTTTAATCTCTCACATTTGCAATTTCATTAGATATTCTTATTTCATTATTGCAAAAGCTCAATCTTAATTCCAATAATTCAAAAAAGTTTCCCCTTTGATTACTAATTTGAGTGTGTACCACCCCTTTAATTTATACACCATTTAATTAACTCCCCTTTCATTCATAATAGTAATTTACCACAACGTATTTACTTTTTAATTATCGCCTTGCAATTTAGTAATAATAATCTCCTAATAACTACTTGACACACATACATTTTAGGCCAGATTCCGCATGGTATTTTCCCCTTCAATTACATTAAATCATTTATAAATTGTAACTTTGAACAGCCATTAAATGAACTGTGGTAAGTGAAGGACTACCCTGGTAGCACAAAAGGATGCGGCCCCTGGGAATTTCGCAACCCTCCAACGGGAGGCTGGGCTGGACCTGAGCCCCTTTTCCTCCCCCTGGGGCAGCCCCCCCCCCTCCCCTTGAGGGCTCTCAAGAGCTGGGTGCAGCGTTCGATCCGCACGATGTCGAAGAGGATATTGAGGGCTCGCGAAGTGATATCCTGCCGGTGTTCGGTGTACGCCTCAATGGCGTTGAGAACCTGCTCCTCATTCTTCTCCCCAGTCACCTGGTGTGGTTAAAAGAGGAGGCGGGTCAGAGGCCGGGAAGGAGACAAGCAAGGAAAAGCCTTACACCCACCCACCCACCCACACACACACACCCCTGGCTGGACTCTGTTTTTACCTTGTAGGCCGGGATGTGCGTGACGTGGCAAAGAGAGACCTCGAACAGCCCCAAGAACTGCAGTGGTCTTTTCAGGTTCCGGAAGGGAGCAATGCTGCTTTTCCCTGGGTTGGTGCTGAAAGAACCGACGGGAGAAGTGAACTGTGATGACCCAAAGGGGCGTGGCACAAAAGCAACAAAGTCACAAAAGTAGGTAAAGTCCCTTTAATTCCTCCAACTTGGCCCCCCAATGTCCAGTTATCATTGGCTGGAGAGAAAACTCTCCCAAGAACAGTTTTTAAAGGGAAGAAATTCCATCCGAACCCAAAGTACATATAAATTATAAATAAAAACCAACACAAACCACGCTGCAGCAATTAACGGAACAGGGCAGGATAAGGAGTGGAAGACTACAAAAGGTAACGAAACACACACAGTTGGGAGGATGCCAGAACCCAGATATGCCTTGACAAACAAAGATAATGTGCGCAAACACCCTTTTAATCCTGTTTTCCCAGCTGCAGCTAATGAAGGGAATCAGGGCCTTTTTCTCCCCCATAACTCATGTTGCTCCCTTATTCGTTCCTCCCTGTGTGCCCTAGGATGAAGAAGGGGTGGGTCTGGGTCTTTCTCTGAATGCCCAGCCGGACTGTGCCCTTCCCCAGTTTCCTCCACAGCCACCGGAGCCACACTCCCACTCCCTGTCAGCTGTTCCCCCTCCCCCTCGGAATCATGACATGAACAGGCCGTGCAAATAATGTAGCATCATAGAGCTGGAAGGGATCTCGGAGGTCTTCTAATCCAACCCCCTGCTGAGGCAGGGAATTGTGGGTCATGAAATGAGGAGCCGCAGTTCAACCCCCGAGCTGCAAAGATCCTCCTCTGTTGATACCTTCTCCCTTCACGGTCAGCACTGTCCCACACACCTGGGCTGGTCTGTTTTCTCGTCCAAGCAGGCGACGGTGCAGTTGTCCAGCATGGTGTGACCCGAGATATCCAGAGAAGTCAGGTTGCTCAGATTCTCCACGAAGAGATTCAGGACTTTGCGGGTCAGCTTGAATTTGTAATAACTGGACAGGCAGTCTCGGGAGATGTCTAAATGTCTGAAGGCAAACGGGAAAGAGATTCTCTATCATCCATGTCACAGTTGTCCCAAAGGTGCTTTTCCCCCCGCCCCAAAAAAAGCAACTGGACTTGAAGACGTTTCGCTTCTCATCCAGGAAGCTTCTTCAGTTCTGAAGAACTTCTGAAGATGTGAAAAGGTTCTTCAGAACTGAAGAAGCTTCTTGGATGAGAAGCGAAACATCTTCAAGGAAAAATCCAAGAAAGTCCCGTTGCCTCTTGAGAAAGCACTTCTGGGAAGGAGTCAAGTTTTCCAACTTAGATATTTATTAAAGGGCACAAGCTTTCGTGTTATTTTTGCTGGCCGACAAAGCTTAATAGTTAATAACTACCGGTCTGGTTTTGGGTTAGTATAGACCAATGTTTCCCAACCGTAGCAACTTGGTAGGCAGCTGGCATGACCTTGAAGCAGCCTCTTGAGAAGTTTCAGTGCTTACTTTCAATTTCCCCCAAGTCTCCTCCCAGAGTTCATGGCAGTTTGACACCGAATAGTAACAAAGCACAATCATGAGGTGGCAGCTGACCGGGGTGGGTGGGTGGGGAGAGAAAAAATATGTCTGGCTCAGGATGTGTACTGATTCTAATGACACATGCAAAGGTCATAAAACTTTGCACATGAGCCGTAAAGTTACTTTTTACTGGAAATTCTTATCTAAAGGTCTTGTTTCGTTTTGTGATGCTTATCAATTCCTGGTTTATTCAAGTTTCATTTTCCCTTGTTTCTTTTTTCTTGTTTTTCCTCTCCTCCCCTATCTAAAAAAATGTAGCAATCCTTTCAGAAAGACTGACCTGAGCTTCCGCAGCTGAGCTATCACCTGAATATGCTCCTCGCAGAGATCCATATTGTACAGCACCAAGGAGGCGAGGCTGTCCTTCCACTGGGTCAGGAAGTGGATGTCGTTGAGCTGGATCCAGGAGAGATCCAGGGCGGCGAGGGAGGCCAGCGGCCGCAGGAGACTTTCCACGTTGATCCCTTCAATCAACCGGCCCAGATTGAGGAAACGTAGCCGCCGGAAGCCTTCAAAAGTAAAGTCCTTCACCAAGACTTGCCGGGTGGGGTTGAAGTCATCCTCGCAGCCGCCCGGGTTCTCCTCTTCGTAAAAGAAGTTGGTGCAGCCGAAGAGGCTGAGCGACACCAGGGTGGGGCTGAAGCTGCCCAGGGTCTGGAGGCTCTTCGCCGTCAACTTCTCGCAGTTGGTCAAGAAAAGCTCAACCAGGTCCTGCAAACAAAACAAAGGGGAGCGTGAAGGGATGTGTGGAGGACCTTGGGGGATCAAGGGAAGCACTGCTTCCTTACCTAGGCTCAAGCCAGGCCTTCTTAAGGGGCTGTCATGTCTTATAGAAGACCCAATCTAGGATTTCAAAGAAGCATGCCCACAGAAGGAGCATCCATGCAAACACAGTTACCCAATAGATGGGTGAAATGGACAGTGAGGACGGCCTTGTGGGAGGAAGCACCAAGGACCCCACAAATAAAATCTTCAGGCTGCCTCCTGGTTTCGAATCACTAGAAGCCAACGTTCTCAACACGCACACTTTGCAACGGGAAGGGGTACAAAGAAATTTCCGACACAACGGGAAAGGACGTGTCCCCTTACTTGCTTCCGAATGGCCTCCAGGTCTTGATCCTGGACAATGTCGTCTCGCAAGTGGATGCGGGCAAGCCGAGTGCTCCGAGGATCCGAAAATAGACTAAAAAAGTTTTCATTGTGTTCAAACAAGGTGTCTGCGTTGACCAGGTCCACGTAGCTAGGAAAGAAAAAAAGAAAGAAAGAAAAGAAAAGACAGGCGTCAAGGCAACCCACCAGAAGCTGCAGATGCAACCTAGAGAGAAATGTAAATACTTGTAACTTACTCATTGACCAGCCTGTCGCAGATCTCGCTCGGAAGGAAAATATCCGTCTGGAGGCGGAAACTCTCATTGTCCAACAAGTAGCAGAGAGTCCCTTCCAGGTTGTGAAGACAATAATCTATGCACAAAGTCATCAGAGACTCCGGGCTGTCGGAAGCCATCTTGGGGCAGTGGAGGATGGGAAAAGGGGAAGGGAGAACGTGAAGTCAACTTAGCGATTCCTCTTCTGGGGTTTTCCTGGAATATCCCTCCAAAGAGATTTCTGAGTGGACTTTGAAGTATATTTCCAGGCAGCTGCGGTCAAAAGCAAAACAATAATTTTTAAATACAGGTAGTCCTTGACTTACAACAGTTCACTGTTACAACAGCACTGAAAAAAGCATAATAACAATTCAGCGTCCCACAAGAGAAACTGTGGAAGGACATTTTTCTGATGAGTACAAACTGACTGCAGCAACCTAGAACACCAGAAAAAAGAAACAGACCAATTATACAACATCTTCCAACACAATGAATGTCCACGTGACTTTATCAAAATGTGCCTGACCACACAACCCACTACAGCATGGCCGTCACAAGATGTGAAAAGGGCAACACTACTAAACATTAAAAAAAAATCTCAGAAACATCCACCAGACTAGTACAACCAGATGGCACAAACCACAGCACACAAATCAACTAAAGCTCTCCAAAACAGCTTATGTAAACCAACAGATCAGCAGCACCAGAAGAAAAAAATTGAGCCCAAAATTTATGTATGTAGGACAGAAAGGCAAAAGACCAGTAAATCACATTCATGAACACCAACTAGCGGTCAGAAGAAATGATTAAAAAGTCCTTAATCTCACAATGTATGGACAGACTCAACCATAGCTTCATAACAGACACTGTGAGCATTCTAGACCAAGCAAATCCAAAAATTATAGAGAATTCTGAGAAGCCTGCCACTCAGAGAAATCAGCTATCAACAGGCACATAGAGATAAACCACATTTACCCAATCGGTCAAAAGAGGCAATCGAAAAGCAAAGGAAAGAAAAAGAGCAGAATGCATGCTCTCCAGCGAACAGCAACCAGATAAGCAGGGCTTAGCACCAGACACACAATCAAGAAGAAAACCATACCTTAATCAGGAAAAATATCAAGGAGAAAACCACAACCCTACCAACACTAGCAGGCCAAGCTATTGTATATAAAAAGGGAGCCAAAACCACACTGACTAGCACTGATGTTACCTAGGATAACAAAACATTTGCAAGCAAAGAACCAAGCTCAGAAGCACCAAGGACAGCACAATTTCAAATTTGTATGATATCAATTCAGGGAGTTGAATTCTAATTAATAGAACACCATAATATAAAAAGCGGGGGGGGGGGGGGGATTTTGTATGTCGTGTGAATTCATCCTTAGCATTAAATGGGACTATGAACACAGCTTCCAAAGCCGGCTTTTACGGGCCATTAATCCCAGCAAAAGCATGCAGAAAGTTAAAATGTCACATAAAATACCGATGATTATCAAGGCTGCCTTTTAAGTTAAGGGTACAGAGAATCATTTTGTTAAAAGAAAACATAAACTGAATTTATATTGGGTGTTCTACATCAATTCTCCCGGCCAAAGGGCCAACATCACAAGATAATATAACAAGGCAAGTTGTGCCAAGTATAAACTCCAACATCTCAAAGAGAATTCTGTGGATGATGCCCAACTAGGAAAAATGAATTCAACCTCTCCATCTAATCCAGTTTTGTTTTTTTTTCAAATTTGGCAATTTAACCGATTAAATAATAATAATAATAATTATGTAATAAATAATAATAGAACAAGAGAGTTAGAAGGGACCTTGGAGGTCTTCTAGTCCAACCCCTGTTCAGGCAGGAAACCCTATACCATTTTCAGACAAATGGCTGTCCAACCTCTTCTTAAAAACTTCCAGTGTTGGGGCAATCACAGCTTTGGGAGGCTAGTTGTTCCCCTGGTTTATTGTTATAACTGTCAGGAAATTTCTCCTTCAAGGAGAGGCTGGGGAGGCCAACTTTAAGGGAGGAGGGCTTCAGCACCCAGGATTCCCCAGACAGTGGAAAAACACTGATCTCGCCCATCTCACTGGGTTACAAGGATGAAAAAATTCCCTTGCTTTTTATAAGCATAGAGCAGTGGTTTCCTTTTCCTTTTTATTTTTCAGTTTTCCTCCTTTGATCCGTTGACCTCCCTTGTAAAAGTCCTGCTTTTTCTACATTACTGCCATCACGGTCTTGGGTTGTTAGGATTCTGCAGGGGCAAAGCCACCTAAAGAGCCCCGTTTAAAAGAGGGGGTGGGTCTGAAGAGGGATCCACCCCGTGCCTTCAATATCGACTGTCACTAAAGGATCTCATCGGAGGATCCCCAAGGATGCTGGGTTTTCTTTTCTTTTCTTTTCGTCTTCTTATTTTCTTTTCCAAAAGGCAACTGGACTGAAAACAAAACCCAGTTGCCTTTGAAAGGGGAGCGGGGGTGGGTGGGTGGGTGGGGATCACCGTGACCTGAGGATCTCCAGAGAGATCCCACCAGATCCCTGCCAGCAAGAGCGCCCAGACCTGCTTCTCCTTCGGGCTCAGCCAAGCTGGGGAGCAGCAGGTGCCGGACTACAACTCCCATCCTCCTCCTCCTCCTCCTCCTCCCCACCCTCCTCCCAGAGCCCCCTCCCCCCCACGCACACACCGATCCCGGGGGCGCCAGGTTGGGGGGGAGGCGGGGGCTTCCTTCCCCTCCGGCGTCGTCAAGGGGGGAGCCCGCCTGGCACTGCCGGAGACCCCTCCCCACAACCCGCGGGCTGCCGTCCTCCGCACTCACCGGACTCCCCGCCTGGCTGGGGAGGGGGGGGGGGGGTGGGGGGGGGGGGGGGGGGGGGACGGAGCTCCGCCCCGCCGCCGGTTCGGTGTCCGGGGCGGGGGGAGACAGAGAGAGAGAGAGAGAGAGAGAGAGAGAGAGGTTCCCACCG